ACCTAATCCGCCATAGGTTAGGTGATGCCACAAACCTCGAAATTTTGGTTCTAGACCCACCAATTTACCTATGTATCTACCAATCTCGCCGAGTTTGGTCGAATTAGCAATGTGTGTCCGTCTGTCCATTTTTATATGTAATCACGCCACTGGTCGCAATTATGACGCAAACCTCACGAAATTTTGCGCTGATTCAGGGTCAGGGTCAGAATAAAAACCTTAAGGACTAGAAATGGACCAACAAGAGATTTTTCTGATTATATTTGAAGATAAAGGTACCCCCCAATATTCGATATTGGGATGAATTTAGCACATTTTACTTATTTTTATCTAAAAACATATACAATCACAAAATAATTTTGACATACTCTGCCTAGCCCTACCTAAAACAAGAATTATTAGACTACAAAAATACTAAAGATTGCTATACGAAATATATATTCAGATTGAAGGATTTAATTTGTTCAAACTTAAAATTTTGTTAAAATAATTTGAAAATTTACATAAAAGACATTTTTACTTACTTCAAATAAATAACATACTTAACAAACGATAATATTTAGTTTTTACAGAATTTTTATTTAAATGCTCTTAGAATTTGATATTACACAGAAGAAAACATTAGTTTTTCATATATTCTTTCAATATAAAGTGAAGGTTTTCTCTTAGGGAACTTTGGTTATTCGATTTTCAAAATGGTGTTTGTGTGTGTGTTTTGTGGGTGTTTTATATTAGGTTACAACAATGATATCTGGAGATAGTTATAGAATAACTTTGTACATAGATTTCATGAAATTTTTTTGAATTCTATGACAACCTGTCTTATGTCCATTGTTTGAATTAATAAAATCAACAATTTTACAATGAATTACAGTTTAAACTTAACTTCATAGGGCTAAGGGTGGAGAGCTACAACTAAGGAAAACATTTTTAAATTGGTTGAAAAAATCATTTGGTTAAAAAGTCTTTGGAACAATATTTTTATTGCGATCTGAAATTTTTATTAAATATTGTATACTATTCGAAACAAATCAATTCACGTGATTTTATTCTAATTATTTGTTACTGAACTTAAAGACAATCTTTGAAAATATTCAAAATGCTATTGTAAATTTCCACCCTTAAACTTCATCTTTAATATGCAATTTTTAAAAGATCTAGCCTCTTCAATATAAACGGAATGGTTTTGGATGTAAAACTTGTCCAGGTTTCTTCTTGGGTCCAGCACTTTTTGGTCGTTTTTGTTCATTGTTCAGCGATGGCATCGATACAGACAAAACCAGACATTCTGCTGGTAGAGACATAGATGCGGACAGAGTGGTGGATCTTTGCATTTTTGGCGCCTTCCAGTAATGCTAATGGAGGAGGAAAGAGAAATTGAAAACGTAAATTTTGTAACAGTTATATAATAATTTAAATATCAAGAACAAAAGAAATAAATTAATTGAATAACTTACAATTCATCTGTTGTGTTTCGATATTGCTTTGTTGCAAAGTGCATTTTTCAATTATTACCAATCTGTTTGAGCTCCAAATGTTTAGCTGCAAAAGCCTTCAATGGGTGAGTTGTGGGTAGTTCTACCAAATTTACTTATAAGTTTCTTTTTTTATTCAGTGGGGTTTAAGAAAATTTGCAAATATTTATATATAATTTATATATAATTTGTGGATAATTTTATACTTTAATAAGAAACTAAAAATTTTAATTATATTTAATAACGTAAAAATCATGAGGTAATTGGTTATTTTAATGTTGTGATCTATACTGTAAAGAACTTTAACGTATCTTTTTTGAGCTTGAGGTCAGTGGTTGTTAATCTTCATACTATTATTTCCTATATTTTGCAAATTTATAATTTGCATATTCATAAAAAACACCTGAGGAAAATTTGATCAACCTTCATTTCGTTCGGAAGCAAGATTTCCACAGACGGACAGGGAGACGGAGGAACATCCCTAAATCGACATAGAATTTTATGCTGATAAAGAATATTTATATTTTGTGGGGTGACAAATTTATAAAAAGAACTACAAAAACATATAAGTTCGGCCGGAAGGAACTTGCAATATTAAAAAAAGGTGAGATAAACAAACTGCAACAAAGTCAAACGCCATAATTTTTACATTTTTTTAAATTTTATTGAATGAAACAAAAAATGTCGAAAATAACATCAAATTTTAGAATAATTTTAGATTCTTTCGAATTGGTCACCTTTGGCACAAATTATGGCCTTCAAACGGCCAATAAAACCGTCACACGCTGTCCGAATGTTGCTCTGCGATATTTCGGCCCGTTCCCGGCGAAACGTGATCGACACTTTGGTATTTTTAGTGCCAACCTTGCTTTCCAAAATACTCCAGACACGATAGTCCAACGAATTGGCATTCGGAGATTTTGGTGCCATTGTGCGCTGGAAATGAAGCGAGGAACCTCATTTTGTAACCATTCTTGGATGGCGCGTGCTGAGTCCTGTTGGAATGTCCAAGGTCTGCGACCAAAATGTTTGCTTGTCCAAGGCTTCAACACATCCCCAGAATATTTTTACCATAATATTCGGGAGGAGAGCGACTATCGGCTGTTATGGCGGCCCACACCATCACCATGGTCGGCGCTTGAGTTCTAGTGGCCACCCGAAGGTGCACATTTTCAGCTGACCTCTTTGGCAAGTAAACACGATAATTTTGTTTGTTAAAAAACTGCTGGACAACGAATGTTTTCTCATCGGAGAAAACCAAATTCGGCAATTCACCACTTTCGGTCAAGCGAAGCAACTCTTTAGCTTTTTTGAGTTTATTTTCTTTGTGTTGCGGTGTAAGTTCTTGCATTCTTTGAATTTCAATGGCTTTACCCTGAGCTCATTTTTCAATATTTGCCGAATGGAATATTGCGATATGTTCAGCTCACGAGCCATTTTTCGGCCAACTGCGACGCGGGTTCCGATCATGTCGCCTCTTTACTTTTCGAACCATTTCTGCTGATGTTGCTGTTTTTCTTCGTCCACTTTCTTGACGTCGGGCTACGCTACCAGTATCACGGTAAAGAGCGATGGTACGAGACACAAAATATTCATTCACATTTAAATGCTGGAGTGCTCTAACGATAGCCACTGTGGTTTACCAGGCAAATATAAAGAAATCACACTATCACGCTTGATAACGAACGAATAACTTTTTTTTTCTGGAAAATTCTCACAAAAATGCTTTTCAGCACGCGCCACCCAAGAATGGTTACAAAATGAGGTTCCTTGCTTCATTTCGAGCGCACAATGACCACCAAAAATCTCCGGATACCAATCCTTTGCACTACTCTGTCTGGAGTATTTTGGAAAGCAAGGTTGGCACTAAAAAATACCATAGTGTCGATCACCTTAAGCAAGCGCTTCGCCGGGAATGGGCCAAAATTCCGCAGAACAACATTTGGGCAGCGTGTGACGGTTTCGTTGGCCGTTTGAAGGCTATAATTTGTGCCAAAGGTGACCAATTCCAACAAATCTAAACATAATTATAAGATTTTATGGTATTTCCGACATTTTTTGCTTTCATTCAATAATATTTAAAAAATATATATATATAGAAATTATGACGTTTGACTTTGTTGAAGTTTTTTTATTTAACCCTGTAGTGTAGGGTATAAAAATATTGTAAACGATTTTATCACTATTGCAAGCTGGTAATACATTTGAAATATTTCTGATAGTTGATCTGGAATAGTAATTATTTAATTCTCTCAACATACTAGATAAGATAAAATGGATTAGATTGCCTATATTAAAAAGTTGACGAACTTTTAAATGATGTTATGGTATAAAAATATTATTTGATTTCCCTATTTCTTCGCTAAAAATTAAACGAAATATAACAGTTTTTGTTCATTCAAAATATTTTTTTCAGAGAACCCGTTACTAGATTGTGTTTCGAATTTAACTTACTTTATTACAATTTAAATTTGAACGAAAACATAATTTCTTATTAAAATGTGTAAATAATTCTCTAGATCATATTGGCTCACTACGAATTACTGATCCTTTATTATTATGCGGATTATCGCAGTGAAAAGAACTTCTAATGAGAAGCTCATCAAAGCTTTAATAATGTCCAGTGTTCATTAGCTATGAATATATCAATCGAAGTGAAAAAGTGCCCTTAAAGAATAATTTAATTTAATAAATCTCAAAATACATGTAATTGTTTTATTTATTTAAATCTTCATTTATTTATTTGTGTTATTTTTATTTTAAATACGTATAAATTTCTATAAACGGTAAATATTTCATCTATTTATTTTCTTTTGTCAATAATGGGGACTTTGTTGGGTATTTAGTTTTGGAAAAAAATGTATTTTCTTGCTTCGTTTTCTTCTTCTTCTTCTTTGTATAGAATAAAATTTCTCAGCTTATAGAGAGTAGAGATTTCTTGGTTAATAACTGTTTTGTATTTTTCTATATTGTATTTGTTGTTGTTTTTTTTTTTTGTAATGCATTTCAAATGGTGGTTTCTAAGTTGCAATGATTTGAATCATTTATTTTATTAGACGTTTATATTCGGTTTCCTTCATTTATTTTTGTTTAAATGTCTTTATGTTTTGAATACAAGAATTGATGGCAATGTAGACGGTAACTGAATTGATTTTGTATTTTTTAACGGCAAATTATAATTATAGAACTATCGTTAGTGAAAATGTGCATGATAATGGTAATTATAATTGTAAAAAGAAAAACTTTGCAAAACTATTGCTTAATTAAGCTACTATTGTTTAATCATTACAATTATTCCACAAACAAATATACAATAAACAGTGTTGAAATATTTATAATTTTTACTAATTTTTAAGGCAATATAAAAAGTTGATAAACAATCTATGTGTTGTGTTTAATTTCAAAATATAACAATTAAATATATGATAAAATCAACCGAAGTGTTGGCAAAGGCAAAGGCTTTTCTGAAATTCGAAATTTTGAGATTTTGTAAAAATTTCAAAAGAGTAGTTTTATTTTTAAAAGAGTATACAAATACGTTTCAAAAAATACCGTTATGTTTTCAAATCTTAAACGGGTGTCGTATGCATATTGACATAATTTTTCATTGGTTTAAACCATGCCACTCTCAGAGCTTCACTGGTTTGGTGCAATTTGAGATGCAATTAAGGGACTCATCATAACTAGGTGGTATCGTTTATAATTAAAATAAGGCGAAATCCGATTGCTTCCAAACCTCTGACTTTTGTTCTTCATTAAAGACAACATTTTTGGCAAGTATTTTCGCCTTAGTTATGAAATTCATCTCTCAAGTCATTTACTCTAGGAGTTGTTTTATTTTTAAAAGAGAATACAAATATGTTTCAAAAACATCGTTGTGTATTTAAATGTTAAAGGAGTCGTATGAATATTGACATAATTTTTCTTTGATTTAAATCATGCCACACTCAGAGCTTCACTGATTTGGTAAAATTCGGGATGCAATTGAGGGACTCACCATAACTAGCTGGCATCGTTTATTATTAAAATAAGGCGAAATCCCATTTTAAAATTGCTGATCCTAGTATTACATTCTTGTCCAAGTGATTTCTAATAACAAATCTTTGTTAAAATTCATCGGAATTAGGTCGAACTTGTTCCTTATTTTTTTTCTATCTCAATATACTTCAATTTCAATACCTGACTTCTTATTTGCTTCGCTTTCAAAGGCCTTGGTACAGAAGACGATTGCATGACCCTCTTAACGATTGCGGCCGTATTTGAAATGGGCCAAACTTGGATCGAAGTTTTGACATGACATCACCATGTGATGTGAGCCCCGAAATGCTACCTCGTATTCGAGTAGAGAGTAAAACTCCTACGAATTCGAGTGAGGTTCCTCTGCGAGTAGAAGAAATAAATCAAATATATTTAATATTGTTATACTACTGCAATTTCTATGCCATCAAGCTGATTATGCTCTTGTCGAGTAAGCTTTAAATTTTTGGTTATACCGTATGACAGTATGGACATTTTGCTATCTCACAGCTGCAAACGAAACAAAAACTAATTCGAACATTTTGTCTCCCAGTCTAATTTTTCAAAGAGGAATACTCGCGAGAGTAAATAGAAGAGTGAAGAGTAAAATTCCTGTGAAACTCTTATCTTGATGTTAAATATTTGCTGCATTATGACAATGAATTGGATAATGATATGTATGAAAGCTATATCCAAATCTGAACCGATTGCGATAAAATTGGGTTGTATCAGATATCGGTTACCAAATGTAATAGTAGTAGAGGGCATATTACGGAATTGAGGAACCCAAATCCGATGAAACATATATATGTTAGCTATAGCCATATTTTAAGCGATTTTTGCCAGATTTCAAGTACTTACTTCTGGGCTCAGTCCGGCCGGATTTGCTGAAATGCATACTACTTGGTCGAATATTCCACATATGGTGCACAATATAATTGAAATCGGACGAAGATATATCCATGGCATAATTATAGAAGGTAAAACAAAGCTACTTCCTAAATACAATTTTTTTCTTCTGGTGCCGCTATCCTGCCAAAACATACACAATTTGTATATGTATATGTATTGTTTAGAAAAAAAGAAAAAAATGAAAGTATTTCAAATTTAGGGGCAACAGAAATACATTTTTCGATGTTAATGGTCAAAAAATTGTACATTTTCGGATAAAACTGCATTATTCTTCTATCGTTGATTTAATTTTGTGGAAAATTTTTGAAGGAAAAAATATAAAACCAACAAAACCAATTGTTGCATATTTAAAAGTCTATTTGACTCTATAAGACTGCAGCACAGAGTTGTTGCCCAGTTTTTTTGAAGTTGAACAATCTTCCTTATTGAGCCTTGGATATATCAAAATTTGTACCGATAATCACCAATTTCGAAAGGGTTCATTCTTGGGGCAAACAAATGATTTGTGGAAAATGTTATTTCAATCGGAGAAAAAATGTGACCCATAGATTGTTTACACAAATGATTTGTGGAAAATGTAATTTCAATCGGAGAAAAATGTGACCCATAAAATGTTTACACATATAGTAGGGTATACAAAGCAAACAAATTTTTGTTTCACAAGTTTTACTAACTTGTTTTCCTTTCACAATTTTTCTCCCTTAACAATAATCACATTTTCATTATTAGACCAGAGATATATATCATAGCCCTTATAATCCGATTGTCAGTACTAAAACACCAGTGATTCTAATTTTTTTAAATAGCAGCACCATGGCGTATGGCTATTGTCAACACTCATACGAAGCCCAAGCAATTCGAATAGCCTTTAAGACCTTCTAAAGTATCAACAAAGCGTGTTATGTGTACACTACATTGCAGTAGATTATCAATTATAAATTCTTTACTGAGCCTTTATCAACACTATTAAAGTTATGTCTTGTTTCTAATTTCAATAAAAATTATTTTTATTTTTTAAAAAATAAATGTTTAAAAGTGTTTATTGTGGTGTATAAATTGTTTATTGTTGTAATGGATTTTGTTATATGAGTATATATGTAATCTTGTTTTTTTTTTGTTTGTTTCTTTGTGGGAGGATTGTTGGTATTGTATTTTTGTTAGTTTATTTTATTTTTTGTGGTTTAACTGTCGAATAAATACATTTAGTTTTGTCTTCTCTCATACATTTTCCTTTTTTTCGTGGGGAGGTGTAATATAATATGAAGATGATAAATATGCTTAGTTGTGTTTTTGTTATCTCTTTTTTGCTTTAGAAATATGTTATGTTTTTTTTGTTTCAAATTTAGATTTTTGGTCTTTTTTCATTTCTTTATTCTTTGTTTTTTTTTCTTTTCTTTTTTTGTAGAGTTAATAAATTTTGTATTTTGAATTAATCAATATGTATTGTTTTGTTATGCATTAGCTCCGATTTTTATATTCTTTTGTATTTTCTGTAAAATAATTTAACTTTGCTGATTTAGATTTTCATCGGCACCAGATGTTGAGGTCGTCATGGATGCTGGTAGTGGACTCTGTGTGTTGAAAAAAAAATAAAATATATTTTTTGTTTTATTAAAACCAAGGACTATTAAAAGAAAACATTTTCTATTACGAAAAAATAATAATGGACAAATAAAAATTAGAATAAATTAAAAATCAACAAAAAATTAAATATATACACAACTTATAAAATAAATAAAAAAATTGTTTTAATACAAAATTATAATAATATGAAATGAAAAATATATGGGATCCAAAATGAGAGGGGTAACAGGGTCTTTTACAATACCACTGGCATAATCAAGCTTTGGACAAGAGAATGAATGACGTTTTATTTTTTTAGTTTTTTTTTAGCACAGCACACAGACACATGTTAGAAAAAATGCAGCAACAATTAACAAGTTTTTCTCCACATATATACATATATAGATATATATTTTTAGCAATAACATATAATAATGATTATTATCCGTAACGTAGGATGTTATCATTTTGTTGTTGTTGGTTTTAGTAAAAATTGATTTTCACAGCACATTTAGTTGAATGAAGTTAGAATGAAATGAAATGTCTTAAAAATAAATTAAACTTAGGCCAAACCAAAAAGTCGAACGCAACAAAGGTACTCTACTCGTTCGACCTTTTGAAATTGGCCTTGAAATTAAAAAGAAACGAAAATAAAATGAGCTGAGTACGAGTACGTTTTTTTTCTTCTCTTTGCAGCAATAACTTACATTTAACAACGTTTTATGTATGTTTCTCTTAATTTGGTTTTGTTTTACAAGAAAAGAAAATAGTTTTCTTTCTTAAGGACGTATATTTCAATAAATAGTTTTTTTTTGTTCATATAATGCACTTAAAAGTTTTCTCTTTTTCTTTCTTAAATCCTAATAAAATTTATATAAATATTCCTAGAAAAAGAAATGCATATAAAAAGTATTATAAGGAAAACGAAAAAAAATATATGTAAAGAAATGCATAGAAAACAAGTTGGGAGGCTGGGGACAAAAACATTTGTGCTTCTAGTGGAAAGATTTTGATGAATATCTTCGATTTTTCATATTTGATGTGTCAAAATTATTTTTTCCCAATAGATTATAAAAGTTAAATTTTGTTTTGCAAAGTTACCGAAATAAAGGGGACAAGTTATTCCATGTTCAACACTTATAAAAATGTTCGAATAAAGATTTCTTGCAATCCTTACATTTAAGGTACATAGAGACTTCGGCAATACTGTCAATAACAGTACAAGGATTATTTTTGAAGAAAAATTTAAGCTCAATCGAGTCACCAAAGAAGCCTTTTACTTAATTTGTACCATTACATCAGTTTTTTTTTAAGTTTTAAGTTTGGCGTTATGATTATTCAAGCTGTGATGCTCAAATGGGGGATGCTCCGAAGGAGTGGCCAATATTATACATTTTGTATCTGAATTAGGTCTGATATAAATAGTTTAAGTGCGAGCATTTTACGAGATATGTTAATTTTTGTAAACTCTTTAAATTTGAAACCTATTTTATGCGAATAAATGATATGGGGGAGGTACTAGAAGGAGTAGAACGGTACTGCCCAACTCCGAACTCGACCTTAGTTTGATAATAATATTACGATATACCAAGTTTGGTCCAAATCGAATACTCCATTTGAGAGTGCGTCGGACAGACAGATGGATTTGGAACGGTTTTTTGGATGAGGCACGTTTTGGTAGTATAACCTTATGGCTGAAGTTATAAACAAGTAAAAAATCAGCCGACCGCGCCGAACTTTTAACACCTTCCACCATTTGGAAATAACTTGAAAAATGTAAAAAGAAATGACTAAAAATTCGTCTTATATGAAAATCCTTATACGGGAGCTACACAAGACGTTGTAGTAAGGATTCCGAACTTCAAATACGAATGTGAACGAACATTTCCGGTAAATAATGTCGCTAAAATCATTAAAATACCAAATATCGGGAGGTTTCGTTATATGGGGACCATTATCATAGACTGTAGTACCCATTATGAACTTCAATTCAAAATTTGAAACAATTCCGGTGAATAATGTCGCTAAAGTCATCAAAATACCGCTGCCAGAAACAGCGCCCTTTATATAGTCTTAAAGGACATAAGAACATGTTTTGAATGGCTTAAGTCATCGTTGTGTTCTTCGTAAAAGAACAATGAAGAGTCGGGTGAACAAGTATAAATCATGAATCGAAATTGATCTAAATTGATTCTCTTTTACAAAGAGGCCCGTCTATGGCTTAAGCCAGAAGAAAAAGCCTTCTATGTACCTGCACAATAAAAGCTCTCAAAGGCATCCGAGATATATTTCAAAAGATTTAGTATAGGGCTTTTAATGAAAATGGAGATTTCTTTTCTTTGGCAACATATAGCAGAGATGAAAAAAAATGCAACCAACTTCAGACTGCTGTCATTTCTAAGCCACTCGTTCGACAGCTGTTAAAATTATTCCAGTATTGTTGTGGGAATTTTCTAGAAAAAAAGTTATTCGTGATGGAATTCAAGCGTGATAGTGTTATTTCTTTATATTTGGCTAGAAAACCACAAGTGGCTATCGTTAGAGCACTCCAGTATTTAAATGGGAATAAATCTTTTGTGTCTCGTACCATTGCTCGTTACCGTGATACTGGTAGCGTAGCCCGACGTCAAAGAAGTGGACGGAAGAAAATAGAACATCAGCAGAAATGGTTCGATAAGTAAAGAAGCGACTTGATCGAAACCCGCGTCGCAGTGGCCGAAATATGGCTCGTGAGCTGAGCATATCGCAATATTCCATTCGGAAAATACTGAAAAATGAGCTCGGGGTAAAGCCATTGCAATTCCAAAAAGTGCAAAAACTTACAACCGCAACAGAAAGAAAATAGACTCTAAAGAGCTAAAGAGTTGCTTCGCTTGGCCGAAAGTGGTGAACTGCCGAATTTGGTTTTCTTCGATGACAGATCATTCGTTGTCCAGCAGTTTGTAAACAAACAAAATGAACGTGTTTACTTGCCAATAGGTCAGCTGAAAATGTGCACTTTTGGTTGGGCACCAGAACTCAAGAGCCGGCCATGGTGATGGTGTGGGCCGCCATAACAGCCGTTATAATGGACCGTGGCATCTAGAATGGTTACAAAATCAGGTTCCTCGCTTAATTTCCAGCCCACAATAGCCACCAAAATCTCCGAATACCAATTCGTTGGACTATTGTGTCTGGAGTATTTTGGAAAGCAAGATTGGCTCTAAAAAAATACCAAAGTGTCGATCACCTCAAGCAAGCATATTGTTGCCTTTTTTTTCTCAACCGGTATACTTCTCAACATTCTTTAAAAAAAAAATAATGGAATACATTTTTCGAAATTTTTTATATATTTTTAAAGTAGTAGAAGGTAAAAACTTCAAGACAGTAATGGTTGCATACTTTTTGTCTATTATACATATAAAACTTTTCTAAAAAAACATCTTCCTAAATGTAGTGATATTTTGGATTCGAATTTCAGTATTTCTAATGTTGTGGTAGTGTTTCCTTTAATTTAACATTCAAATATTCAAAGAAATATCCATTTTTTTCTTTTTTAGTTACTTTCCATCAAAATCTTTCATTTACTATTTCTTTTTACTAAAATTATAATGAAGTGTATTTACAACAAAAAACAAAACATTGAGAAGGTAAAAAGTAAACGATAGACAAATTAGGTTAAAACTATTCAAGTTGAGCAAATATTAAAGCTTTTTGTGTGATTTATAAAATAAAAGTAAGATAAGAGATAAAAATTCGATTTTAAAATTTGGCTTTAGCATTTATATAATAAAAACCTTTTTTTATTTTCATATATACGTTCTTTTGACATTTGTTTTATAGTACAACAAATTGAATAACAATTATTTTGTTGTTAAAACAAGAATACGATTTATGAGGTTTGCTTTAATATTTTTTTAGTAAATAGGATATTAGGTATAATAAATATAATAATTAAGTTTTGTTTTTAATTAAGTCAATGTTCTTTTGTTATTATCCGTTTAGTTTAAAACTAGGTACTTTTCGAAATGTTTAAGGGGGGGTGTTACGCTTTGTAAAGTGTGTTAGGCTTCATTTTATTGGGGTTTAAATTTGGCCACTTTTTTCTAGCAGGATTTTGTTGTATTTGTTTTTTTTTTTTTAATTTGATAACATAAAAATTATAAAAAAAAGTGTCTTTGTATTGTGTGTAGTAGTAGGTTTAATTGGGTGGGTGTGGCTTTGAGCTTTATATTTTTGGTTTTGAATTTTTAGAATTTCATTTCTTTTGGGGTTGCTACGGCATCTATTTAAAAAGCGAACGAAATACTTCGGTACACACACAATCTTTGGTACAAAGACCGAATTCAAGATGTATTGTCGCTATTAAGCGCCCTTGTGAGCTCTATTTCATTGTTATGTGTTTTTGTTTGTTCATTTTTGTGTGTTTTTTGGAAAAAAAGAATGGGAAGAAAAAAGAAAGAAAATTAAGAATAACATTGGTATGTTTTCACAGTAAAAGTTAGATTATTTTTTTTTCACATCTAATTATTTATTCTTAGATAGAGATAGAGAGAAAGAGGAGACAATAATATTAGAATTAGAATTCATTTGGAATTATTTTGAGAAATTTTGATTTACTTCGAATTGTGGGAGTAGAAATTCATTTTTTTGATTTTCTCTTAGAGGGGATTTGAAAAACTAAAGGAAACATAATTAAAACAATATATGGAGAAATAAATAAAATAGAATAAAAAAAAAAAACAAATAAAAGTCATAAAACGCAGACAAAATAAATTGTTTACAATGGTAAGTAAGTATATGCCAATTTCAGATTATTTCAATATATATCTTGCTGTAAATCATATAATATATATATTTTAGTTAGTAGTCTATAATTTTTTTTAGTATTTCGAAGAGCAATTTGGTAATTTGTCTACACGGGTTGAAGTCCGATTAACTTCATCATCGTCGAACGTTGTCAATATAAATTCACTCTTCAGAACATCCTTTATAAAAGGCGTACTCTCGATTTGGAATATTTTTTTGT